TGGACGTCTGCAACTCGGTAACCCGCACCAGCGATCGAAAGTACCAACGACAACTTTGTTTTTTCATAGGCGGGTGTGACACCGGTGATTCTCGCCATCCAAAGAGGCCATCGACGTCTGGCGACGATGCTTCACGTCGCTGCGCACAGTGCGATTCCTGAAGTCCGTGTCCTCGGGTTGGATAAAATTCTGACAAATGACGTCGTTAGGTGTCAGAGACGGAGATTGAGATGGACATTTCTAGTCCATTGGGCGTCGGCGGCTACGGGGCCGTGTACAAGGGCATCTACAACGACCGATCCGTCGCCGTCAAGACGGCTGCCAACGCATCGTCTGCCCAAGCATTGGTTTACGAGATGGGGACTATGCAGATGTATGTCTTTTCTGATATTTTCTTATTTCCTCATCATTGATGGATTTAGGTGCAATTCGCCGTATGTGCTGCAGCTGCTCGCGGTCTCGGGCGCCGGCACATTGAGTCCCAAGCTTGTCCTGGAGTACATGGACGCCGGCGATCTTCGGAGCTACCTCGACGCCAAGCGACTTGGCCGGGCCACCAAGGTTGATGTCTCTTCCCTTGAAGTGGCGTGGGTGCTTGCGAATGCTCTTGCCGATCTGCACCACAACGGTCTTCTTCACCGGGACCTCAAGAGCCACAACGTCCTCCTCTCTTCGACCAACTACATCAAGCTCGCCGACCTCGGGATCGCCCGCGAGAACGAGTCGAACATGACGACAGGCAAGGGCACACCGTACTGGACCGCCCCCGAGGTCTTTACGTCGGACAGCAACTACAGCTTTGCCGCCGATATCTACGCATTTGGCGTCATTTTGACCGAGCTGGACACGCTCCAGCTACCGTACCACGATGTCAAGGATCTTGGGTACTGGGGTATCATGGACCAAGTGCGTCTCGGCAACCTCCGCCCGACAATGAGCGTGAACTGTCCGCTTTGGCTGCGTCACCTCGCAGAGCAATGTCTGTCGTTTGACCCGACGCAGCGTCCGTCGGCGCAGATGCTAGTGACCTCCCTCCAAAAACTGCTCGGTCGCAGCAAAGAAGCGTCGGCGCGGGAGCCAGAGACCGAGCCCTTGGACCGCAAGACGCGCTCCACCGCGGTAGCCTACGTCGCTTCTGACGGCATGAGAAGGTCATGCACCCTACTCTCTTTGTAGATGTCAACACCCGAGAACCTCCACCGCTCCGACAAGCTACTCAGTCGCACGGGCTCGACCCTCAGCAGCGACTCGGTGACGTCGTCCGTCACCCCTGGAACATCCACTGGCTCGACGGTGAGCTCATCAACACAACTCTTATGTTGAGACTTCTCCATCATATCGCCATTGTAGACGTACTCGTCGTGGTCCAACTCGATGCTCGTGAGTACGCGCGTCGTGTGTCAGCTCTGCCGCGCCTCCAACTCTCTGCTCGAGTCACACTGCGAGGCCTGCGCCGGGTCGTTAGCTCCTGTGGCGTCCAAGCTCAAGGTCCTTCTCAAGCGGCTTGCGGTCGCCAAGAAGAACGGATTCGAGATCGACGACGGTCTTGTCTGCGTCTGCTGCGACACGCTTCACAGTATGACGGCCACGATCTGCGACGAATGCGACGATGAGCTTCCGGACGACCAAGAAAAGCTGCGCATTCTACTGCGACGCATCGAGCAAGCGTCCAAGGCGTAAGTCTCGTGATCCATCGATCGATTGAGCGACTAAATGCATTTTTTAATATTTGTATACAGTCCAAATGTGTTATGTAGTACACAAACGCAGCGAGCACATGCTATCTCTTCCATCGACGAGCTCGATTTACCCTACACCTACCCTAGCCCTAGGCACAAGCCGACCTGCAACTGGGTTTCCAATGATGCAGGACAATATACTGTAGGCTCGGAGGTAGCAGTTTGATTGCATTAGAGAAGAGTGATGCTGTACCAATTTGCGTTAGTTCATAGCATTATGGATTCACCGGGTTTATGATCCGACTCGCGACTGGGACGCTCGACATTCTTGATGACTTGATACCTCGAAGCTTAAAGCATCGGGTGCCATCCGCGGCTCAAT